CAGCCTCCGGGTTGTTGTATTTTTGAGCTCGCATGTGGTGCAAGTACTCATTCTCTACCGACACCATCTCGTTGTGCACTTTCACGGCGATCATATGCGCCGGGTTCTCCTCATTGAGCGCTGAGGGGAACTGCAGATACTCGAATTTGGCTCTGCTTGGGTCTAACGCGTGCCTGGCTGTTGATTGGTAATAAACCGGTTGAAGTATGATTGAAATATGAGCGGATTGATTTGCGTTGAGGAGTTTGTTACCTGGCTGTTGGTTGGTAGTAAACCGGTTGAAGTATGATTGAAGTATGAGCGGATTGATTTGCTTTAAGGAGTGGCGCGTAGTCATACTACTCTATCCCTGGTGCATTCCATATCGACGGCATAGTGAGGACTTGACTTTAGACCTAACCAGACAGCGTGTGTGTGACTGTGTGTAGCAAACCATCTATCTAATCATCAGAGTTAAGGACTGTGGTGTTTGCATACAGAACTAAAAGTACCTGCAGATATGCATAGTATATATACAGCATAGGCATTTACTTTGGTGATATATATACCGAAACAACAACTTGTGTAGGTATGATAAGCCTCACATACCTGACTCTGAGTACAGTGGCGAATGTGTATAGCAGAAATACGCCACTGCGAGGACTCCTGCACAATATGCAACAGTCACAAACCAGCTTGAGCGGATCGGCTGTATGGCGAAGTGCCCCGTACCACCCACATTGGGGTGGCCAATTCCATCCCCTCCTTCAAGACAATTTAACTGCGGTTGTAGTACGAATCGTGTCATATATCGTGAGTATATGTTTAACTTAGCTGCGTTTATAGTACAACATTTGCCATATATCGAGAGTCAATGCGTCTTATATTGACTGGCCGTGATTGTGCCCGATATTTTATGTATTAAGGGCTTGTGCCCTGTACTATCTGTGTACATACTTATGTGGGAGTGAAGGACTACATCTATACTAAGCACAAAGTGATGCAGCTGACAGTCATACATATGACCGATATAAGAAGTAGTGTGAACACTTACGGATCAGTGACATCGACATTGGCATTGTGTTGACTAGCAGCGATGTCATTGACAGCTACAACAAACAATACAGAGAAAGCCACAGCATAAGAAGAATAAAGCAGGAACAAGTAAAGGAGACGAGTAAGAACAGAAACATGAATCTAATCCAGCCTAAAACATACATACATGCATAAT